GGAGTCGTTTTGCCCCGAATGTTTGCTGGATCCTGCCTCTGTTTGCAGCGCCTTTCTGTGCGAGGCGGAGAGTCGACCTCCTCGCCACTGCTCGAGTCCTCGCTCTCCTTGTCTCCTCCTCCATCAGAGTGCCAGTCGCCGCTGTCACCCCCGCTCACCTCTCCCTCCTGCTCCTGCTCTTCGTTGGGCATCGAGTACATTTCAGTAAAGATCTGCAAAGGATAGAGTCGAGTGGATATCAATCAGTTTCAAGAGCTAACACATATCAGAGCAAGATACACTCGGAAGGAAAGAATTGGACCTTGTCAGGTTCAGTGGTGTTGTCGAGTGGAGACCCTCCTGGACCCCCTGGGGTTGTCCTTATTCCCAGTGATGCCTTGCAACCACAGCGCCACCGTCTCCTCGTTGACTTCCTCTGGGTGGATTCGAGTGTTGTCCTCAACGCCCGAGTACATCCACATTGGATGGTCACGAGCTTGGAGCGGCTGGATGCATCGACTTAGAAATGCTTCTAACAAATCCATGCTAATCACGCCGTTGCGGAAAAGTTGGACCACTCGCTCAACCAGCATAGCAACCTCCTCTTTCTTCGCTTGAGTCACTCTCAAGGGAGAAGGCTTCTCGACTCGCTCGGTGGAAAACGGAGGAAGACCAGACGACTAACCCGGGGTCGATTCATCCTTACAATAGAACCAGGTCGACTGCCACCCCCTGACTGACTCGAGAAGAATCATGGCAGGGAAAGTGCTTTTGTTTCTCATCTGGATCCCTAAAACCCCACACATCTGGATCACATGTGTCCTCTCATCACTCAGATTGGCCTTTTTTACCGACTGAGAGCGGCAGGTGAAAATGTGTTTGAAGAGGCCCCAGTGCGGTCGACAACCTAGAAAGTTCTCGCACATGGACACATAAGCAGCGAGGTATGTGATAGTATTGGGGGAAAAGTGATGAAGCTGGGCTCCGAAGAAGTCCAGAAAACCACGGAAGAAAGGATGGGGAGGCAAAGAAAAACCGCGGTTGACATGGGTCGCAAGGAGGACACACTCACCCTCTTGCGGTCGCGGCTCGGTCTCATCCCCAGGAATCCGCCAGGACTCGTGGGCGATCAGCCCCCCGTCAACCAGATCCTCCATGTCTTCTTTCAAGATCGTCGACCGGATCCAGTCACCCTGAATCCAGCCGGGCGGCAGAGCAGATCTCGACGACGACCCGCCCCGGCTCATCTTCTTCCCCTTCGCTTTCGCCGTCGCCTTCTTTGTGCGCTCCAGAGCAACGGTCTTGTCCTTCCCCATTGCGGTAGATCGAGCTCGGGCTGGGCGGCGGCACCGAGAGCAGAGGCAGAAGCAAAGTGGAGCAGAGGAGGAAAGGGGAGAATGGGGCACACAATGTGAAAGCATCGGCCCCGCCTTATATGGCCCCGTTCCCCGAGTGACTGACTGGTGGACCCAAACGATCTTGTCAAATCCCGCAATAGGCACGCGCGCAGTACGTGGCGAAAAAGGTGGCCCTGTCTAATCTACTCCGATTACCACGACCCTCTTCGCCCCATGTGCTTCCCCAAATTTTGAATCCCCGCCAGATCCGGAAACGGCAGAGCAGCCAATCATACCGAAGATTTTATGCAACACTAGCAGTCGAAACTCATCAGCAGAAATTTCACTCGACAATCTCTGAATGGTTCAAGGCGACTCAAAACGAAGTCGAAGCTGTTGCATGGTTCACCAATCCAGTAATATGCTTCCGCATCATAAAGGTTGGGTCGGAACCATCATCAACTCCATTTTCCACTCGAACCCAGAACCATTCGGGGGCTAATGATGATGTCGTGTACCTAGGGTATGGTAATAGACCTGATCTAAGCACCCCACCCAAGAACACTGCCCTACAGTCAAAGACAATCAAAAGACAGCAAATTCTACCGACTCGAATCACCTCAGTGCATGAACACTCGACCAACATCTCCACTCGGATATCCCAATTCCATTCGACTAGTATATCATCACTCGGCCGTACAAGAACCACTCGGAGTATGGAAGGTCTAAAGTCACTCTAGATAGCAACGGTCGGGCATTCACTCTGCAGCATTAACGATCAGTTATATGACTTTATTACTGATGTTACCGGTAATGCCTCATCTTTATGTACATTAAACCCTATGTAACGGGGGATGGCTGGGGTCCTGGCGCACTCTATATAAGACACCCCCTCCTCTGGGACAAGGGTTCGCACCCCCTGTAACTTCACGCATAATCCAATCAACCAGCCTCTGGGCACCAAGACGTAGGGCTGTTACTTTCTCCGAGAAGGCCTGAACTCATAAATCTTGCATGCACAACTTCACCGTAGCTAGGATCTTGCCTCCTCATACCTACCCCCATTCTACTGTCAGACTTAGAACCACGACAGGCTGCTCGTGAGGTGTAGATGGACTGGACTTGGAGCTCGTGCTTGGGCGGATCTGATTGGGCGGAGCTCCCACTCCTGGTAGGCGATGGTGGCTCGGTCCTGGTGGTTCCCATAGGCAATGAGGTCCCTCTACCCGCGGGTGTCGTGGTTGATGGTGGTGGTTGGGGCATCGTTACCTTGTCGGGTAGATCGACGTCTACCGGTGGTAAAACCGGCAGACCTCGGGGCAGGGGGTCCTGATTTGTGGATCTCGGATCTATGGGTAACAAACGACAAGTGAGACAGTATTTACCCAGGTCCGGGCCCTCTCGAAGTGATAATACCCTATGTCCTGATTTGATTGTATTGATGATTGTGTATCGAGTACAAGCTTGATCTACCTCGAGATCGTAAGTTTTGTTCTAACCCTAAGGCTAGGTGGGTGTAATTGTGATCGTAATGATCTGGAATATATCCATTGACTAGCCTAGCCGCGGCTTATATAATGTATCGGAGGCCTGGGGTAGCTAGAATCCTCGTCGGATACGTCAGTGTAGAGGAGTCCTTGTCTTGATCACCAAGTCTTGTGGAATCTTTCCTCGTATATGTCATGGGCTGCTTGAAGTGGCCCATTAGTGAACCACCATGGGGGTCCTCGCCCCAGCCCTCTGATCGGGAGATGACGTGGTGAGTGCCCCCTAGTCTAGGACACCGTCGACGTCGATGGCCACAAGCATGGGGTCGTGCGATCTTACTCTATGACGGTCGTCGGTAGTCATGGGGTTGTGTCTTCCCTAGTCCAGTGTGAGTAGCTGGCGACGCAGGCGTCGGCGCCTTCCACCCTGGAGGGTTTGACCCTGATCCTTGTCTGATGTCAGGCTAGGAGTGGAAGGAGACGCGTTCTACTCTTCCTGCTATGGTTGGTGCATTATGATGTGAGCGGGTGGTGGTGTCTCGGACATGGATGCCGAGGTGGCGGCCCCGCATGGCAGTCAACATGGTTGGCTCCCAGGCGAGTTCCATGAAAGCGTTGGTGGCTTTCCCTGTTGGTCGTGTGGGCGGAGAGAGGTGTAGCGATGGGTGGCCTTGGCGTGCTCTCTGTTTGTGAGTGGCGACGCCCCGACCCGAATCCGAGGATCTGAATTCGTCGCACTTGTCTTGTAGACCTCGTGGTGGCACACGGGAGCTACCAAGCGAAAGTTCCACGCTTTGGCAGCAACGGCGGCGACGCTCATGGGTGCCACTCCCTTCTTAAAGACGTCATCGTGGAGCTCCTCTTAATGTCAGGGTCCCAGGTGAAGATCCTTTTCTAGTGTGGACACAACAACGGTGACGCTCATGGGTGCCACTCCCTTCTTAAAGACGTCATCGTGGAGCTCCTCTTAATGTCAGGGTCCCAGGTGAAGATCCTTTTCCAGTGTGGACACAACAGCGGTGACACTTAGCGTCGTCCTCCCTCCCGAGGACGTTGTTGTGGGGCTTAGGTGTTCTGAGGCTTAGTGTGGCGTTGCACTTAGATTTTTCTGTGTTTTCTTTCGGTAGCATGTGTTCTGCATGGTCCGGTTATCCTGCGATCGGAGTTATATGTGGGTCACCTCATCACCTAATCGTGTACTTTATTCTATTGTTGCTTTGTCGACAAAGCGGGGCAAAAGCCTGGTTCAGAAATATCTTGCCTTTTTTCATGGATACCACTCAAAGAAATTTGTTACTACTTGCATGGCCGGTGGGGCTTAGCGGACCCGTTTCGGGCCAGGGATGGCCTGGTATGCCCTGCTGCCGTGTCCGTCGGCTACCGCGACAGTGCCAGAGGCGCGGGCTTCTCGCACGACGGCGGTGGAGGTGGTTCCCTTCCGCTCGGTCTTGGTGCTGTTGCTCTCGTCCCGTGGCGCTTCTCTCCGATCTTCTCGGCCTCGTGTTGGTGCTCGTAGTGAGACGGCGTGGGTGGCGGCGCAAGCGCGATGGCGCATTGGGCGGTGGTTTGGATGGTAGGCTCCGGATGGGCGGTGATGTTTGGTGTGTGGGAGGAATCCTTGCCGGTTCGTCCGATCCCGATGCGGTGACACCGGTGGGTGCCACCATTCCTTCTTGAAGGGTGTCGGTGGTAGCCATCCCTCACTTTCCTTCGCATACCGGTCGAAACCCTAGGACTCGTCCGGACAGCAGTGTCGTCAGCGTCGCATACCTTCTTGGAGGTGCTGCTTGGTACGCGGCACTTGGAGCCTCGAGCTGTGGTGGGGTGTTTTCGGAGGGCGCAGCGGTGGCGGGCCTTCCGCGCTTTGTCGAGCTGCCATTGTTGGCATTTGCTTCTTCTTCTTTTCTGTCTTTGGGCTTGATGTCTGCTCACCCAGCGTCGTGATGTGTACAATGTTAGTTGGTTGATTTGGAATACAAAGCGGGGAAATCCCTTTTGGGTAAACTTTTCGATTTCCAGCGCGTTGTACTACTTCTCTATCTCTGTCTTGCATGGTCCAGATACAGAAAATTAGTCAATGTCTCAATGAACGAGTAAAGCTATCTATCCAGTATCCACTCGCTCGCGCTCGCGCACGCAGCACGCTACAGCACCGCGGCTAGCAGCTGCGGCTGCGGATTACGCATCCCGGTCAAAAATGGCCACTCCCTCCGCGCCACGTCTCCACTCCCCCATGCCTATCCTCTTCCTCGCCGCCGGTCCGCTCGCCGCCGTCCACTTCTCTGCCCGCTGCCGCCTCCGCCTCCGCCTCCGTATCCCCCACGTCGCCACCGCCGCCGGCGCTGCCACCACTCCGGGAAACAGCTTCGCCGTCGAGGACTACCTCGTCGCCAACTGCCACCTCACCCAGCCGCAGGCCGTCAAGGCCTCCAAGAACCTCGCCCACCTCAAGTCCGCCTCCAACCCCGACGCCGTCCTCGCATTCCTCGACGGCCTCGGCTTCTCCCCCAAGGAGGTCGCCGCCGCCGTCGCCTCCAACCCGCGCATCCTCTGCGCCCGCATCGAGCGCTCCCTCGCGCCCATCTCCGCGGAGCTCCGCGCCCTCGGCCTCTCCACCTCCCAGGTCGCCCGCCTCGCCAAGATCGCCGGCCGCTACTTCCTCTGCCGCAGCTTCGTGTCCAAGGTGCAGTTCTGGCTCCCCCTGTTCGGCTCCCCGGAGAGGCTGCTACAGGCCAGCGACTGGAACTACTGGCTCCTCACCTCCGACCTCGAGAAGGTGGTCGAGCCCAACGTCTCCTTCCTCAGGCAATGCGGGCTAAGTGCTTGTGATATTTCCAAGCTGCTCGTGGCCGCGCCGCGTCTGGTCACCATGCACCCCGAGTACGTCCAGGACTCCGTCAGGCGGGCCATTGAGCTCGGCGTGCCACCGGGCTCCCAGATGTTCCGGCACGCGATCTCCACCGCCGGCTGCATCGGCCAGGAGAAGGTGGACGCCAAGATCGCCGTCCTCAGGGAGACGCTGGGGTGGTCGAAGGAGGAGGTGAGCCTGGCCATCAGCAAGGCGCCGCGGATCCTGGTCGCCTCCGAGGAGAGGCTGCGCCGCAACGCCGAGTTCCTGGTCAAGGAGGTCGGGCTGGAGCCGCAGTACATCGCGCGCCGGTCGGTGCTGCTCATGTACAGCCTCGAGAGGAGGCTCATGCCCCGGCATCTCGTGGTGAAGCTCCTCAAGCAGAGGCGGCTGATCGAGGAAGACCGGTGCTTCTTCAACGTGGTGGCGCCGACGGAGGAGAAGTTCTTGGAGAAGTTCGTTGTCCCCTTCGAGGAATGTATCCCGGGCCTCGGCGATGCTTACGACGCTGCCTGTGCCGGCAAGGAGCCGGTGAAAGCTGAGTGGGCAGTGAGTGACTAGAAGAGGATTCTGGAGGTGTGCTTTGGTGTGTATAACCTCAATTCTACTGATGAACAATACCAGATTCATGGCCATTTAGTGTAGGTTGATTACAGTCGACAGCAACGAGGTGGATGTTCATAATTTTGGAACTTGGAAGTGGTCATTACTGATTGAATAATGGATTTGGTGTAAAACTCCGAGCAAACATGTCTATTTGGTTCTGTCTAGTTTACAGAAGATGAACATCGCCATCTTGCATATGCGTGCAATGCTTCAAAAGTGTTTAACGCAGTGGTCAATTCTTATTGTGCATATCTGAATTGCTGTTAGCCCTAAAGTAATGCCCCTGCACAATACATTAAACCTAAATAGGAGTAGCTGGCTTCAGTATAAAACAAATACTTTGGGAGTGTATATTTTGTAAGTTGCTTCAAATATTTATATACCTCAGTCGCCTTTTTAAGCCTTTGGACCAACATCCAACAATTCACATCTCATCTAACTTTTTGTATATCAGCTATCCATTCAAACTTGCACTGAAGTTGCATGATCTGGAAAGTATAAATTTAGACAAACCAAGGTGCAATTTCAGGTGACTGAGATTTATGAAACCTTTCGGAGCATCCCTGGGTCTGTATGCAACCTTTCGAGTGGCTGCATTTTGTTTAGTGATTGCTTCTTAAGTTGGATAATGCTCTGTTGCCCTGTCTAGATAGCCAACAGTGTGATGAGAGAAGTCCATAGCACTCCCTAAACTTGTCCGGGTGTACTATACAATACCAAACTTTGCTTTGCAGTTTACCCCTCTGAACTATGAAAACCCTTCTTCCTTATTTAGCCGGTTTTGACCTGTTTGGCTACAGTTTTGTCCTAGTCAGTGGTGCCACATCGCATATTTTCTCCCCTCTGTTATGTCATTTCTCCCTCCTCACAACTAAAATTAAAATAGAAGGTTTCTCTCAAATCGTATGCCAATAGATTGTCAGTGAATTACGCTCGATTTACTGGCATTTTTGGAAGTTAAAAAATAGGTTGTCTGAATTTTGAACCCAAAAGTTGAGCTTGAAACTAAAACAAGAAGTTTCTCTCAACCAGTATGTCAGATTTATCTAAAATATCACCATATTGGTCCATGACCTAGGTTTAACATGCTTCAGTCTCAAGTTTGATTTTTGGGTTCAAAATTCAGACAACAACATATGTTTCTATACAAATCATTGTAAATTAATCATAGTTCGGTGAACATTATACTAAATTTTTACAGGTAACTAAACTATAGTTTGAAAGAAACGTGTAATTTTGGTTTTCGTTAGAGAGAAAATATGTGATATGACACTGGTAACTAAGAAAAAACTGGAGTCAAACATATCAAGTAAAGGGAGAAGGAACGTTGTAAAGTACAAAGTTTCACGGGTAAAGTGAACCAAATCAAATTTATGGTTGTACTTGTAAGGTGTATCATATGACAAGTGTAAGAGGGTCGCTCAGACTTCTTTGTAGTGCAATGACCACTCTGACAAAATCACCATTGTTAGTAATTGCTTTTTTAGGGTTTTCTTTCTTATAAGAAACACTTACCACAATGCAGACATGCACACACGCTCACACCACCACCACCACCACACACCCACACACACTCACACAACAACTACCGAAAATCAAAGTTGTGGAGCTTCGAGATCGATGAACTCATCACAGTCGGCTATCTAGGAAAAAATATTGCCTACCAGTGTAAGATTAATCGACATTAATGGGACACTAAAGTGCCAAACGCGAGGTTTGATCATGATCAACTGGAGTACCGCAACCCTCTTAAGGCATCTCCAACGCCGACCCTCAAAAACACCTGCAATCGTTCGGACCTAGCTGTCCAGACGTAATTTGCCATCCAATATGGTATCCCGACGGTCCGCGGGCGGTCCGG